CAAAGACTGCAATGTCTGGTCTGTCCTCAGGGAGAAGGAGAATCCCAGGGAACCACAACAAGGGCATCTGTACTGTTAAACATCTCTCATAAACAATTCTTCGTGCTAGTGTAGATATTGCATGGTCAACTGTCCCTCTAAACTCTAGTGCAGCTGGTAACTTTACTGGAGCAAGTTCATTCTGCCACCATCTCTACAAAGTTGGACCTCTGAAGCACATACAATTCATCGGAATTCAACCTGCTTTTCTACTTTACCAATATAGCCAACCAAAAGGATCATGCAATCCAAATATTCCAGAGACTCGGGGAATACAATTTATATGCTGAAAAGTGTGAGCTTCATCAGTCTAGAATCTTCCTGGGGTATGTCCTGGGACCTGAGGGAGCTTGAATGAATGACAATAAGATAATGAGATAAAAAACTTTCAAGAACCAAGAACTGCTGAAGATCTGCAGGCTTATCTAACTTCTGCATAAGATTGATCTACAATTTCAGCACAGTCGCAGCATTTTAAGTGCCACATTATCGGTGGGTCTTTCTGACTTGTTATGCTTCATTAACTGTCTCCTTTAGGTCATCAGGGTGGATGCATCAAGCTGAACATATAACTGCGAAGGGGAGTCATTTGTCTTCAGACTGGAGTGCCCTGTCCAATCAGTGCTCACCTGCCCCTATAAAAGTAGTGGAGGCTCTTTGTCAGTGGCAGACCATTGCTTGCCCGTTGTGTTGGTAGAGGTCCTGTCCTGGGTATCGGCTGCAATTAAAGCTTAGTCTTATTAGCTGGTTTATGCGAACTCATATATGTAAGGATTTGGCTCCCCACTGCTGAATATTTAGATTAGCTTAGTAATAGTTTTAAATCATACTTCATGTGTATGGAAACCAAAACAATCATCTGGAATGACTCTGCTCATGCAGATTTTCAACAATTCCGAATGCTATTTCCATCAGATCTGGTACTCAAACAACCAGACCCAATCCATTTATTGTTTCGGAGGTTTGTGCGAGAGCTGTCCTTGTACAACGTCATGGCATGCACCCCCAAAACTATTTCCCTCTACATTTTATTCCAATAAACATATCTACAATGACAGGAATAGAGTACTGCTGATTTTATGGCTGAAAGGGGTAACTCATCCATTTGTAGTCCTGATAGACCATTGAAATCTAGAATATATTTGAGAAACCAAGAGGCTGAATCCTGTTCACTCTTGTGTTTTGTCCTGGCAAAAGGAACGGCAAGGCAGACGCTCTCCCCAGGCAGCAAGAACCTCATAGATTTTCAGTTCCAGAGACTATATTGCCTTCCACCTGTGTTGAGGCTCCTGTCAGATGGGACATCATGGATGCCCTCCAGGTGGCTCTCTGCATTGATCCCAGTCACCCACATACTCCCTCCAATAAGATCTATGTTCCAGCCAGCAATCATCACCGGCTTCTGCAGTTGGCTCATACCTCCCACTGTATCGGGCACTGGAGTATAACCTGAACCTCAGAGCTACTCACTCAGACGTTCTGATGGTCATACGTTTGTGATGATGCCAAGAAGTGTCGTGTCCTGTTTGTACTCAAAGACTCCATAATCAATACCAGCAAATATGCTCACTCCATTATCAATTTCACAAAAAATATGGTCACATATCACAATGAATTTCACGACGGACAGATTGGCCATGTCAGTGGGTACCTTTTCCAGGCCTGTCTAGTGCTTTGAGCGCCAGTTCAACCAAGTGTTTTGGTTCTTTGATATTTCAGAGGACAGAATGTCAGACAGGGGACCACAATTTACATCTGAAGTGGGGAAGGCGTACTGTACGCACCTGGATGTCAACATCCTCAAACTAATAGCCAGAGATGCTTTCCACAATACTGTGCCACCAACCAGATTTACTGGAGCCTGGATCTGGCCTGTGCTGACTATGCACAGAACAGTCATGCTTTACTTCAAAGATAACAGATCCCACCAACCTTCCAGGGCTCCATGCTGAAACCAGTCTATTACAGCCCAATGCAATCACCCTCTGCCCCAGAAGAACCTCCTCCCTTCTAGATGTTGGTGGGATCCCTCATACTCAGGCCATGCCCTGTTGGATTCTAAGCGTGGCCTTGAAGATCGGTTCTGGGGACGGGCCTGTGACACGTTGGACTCTTTGCTCATTGTGGACTTCCATCGCTTGCATCCAGATCATCCTGCTCCACGTCCCTGGAGCTGTCTGAGGGTAAGTGGTCTAGGGCATGGAGAATCACCCATGGAGGTGCGGTAATGTCACACCTGCATACAGCCAGGTCTCCGTTCAGCCATGCACACTCTGGCCACGTTCCACCTCACCGGATTATTCACACCTGACACTCATGAGCTGATTTACTGGATACGTACATTAGGACCTTTGTCTTCACTATGGTTTGACTTTTTTATTTTATTTTGCTTTTATTTTTAATTTTTATTTTGCTGTGTGCGTGTGTGTGTCTGTGTGTGTGTGTCTGTGTGTGTGTGTTCGTGTGTGTGTGTGCGTGTGTGTGTGAGCGAGGGGGACACACAATGTCCCCATAACGTGATAAATATTCATTATTTTATAAAAATCGGTAACTGCTTTGAAAAAACTAAAAATGAACTGCAGTTGTTTTTTGGAAAAATAAGCCTGTTGCTTCTGCACGGATCCTCTCTTATCATTCATGTCAATAGAATAATTTGTTTGTATAATTTACAAAAAAAATCACTAATTAATAGATTCTATGACACAAAAAAAAAAAACAGATTACATCAGAAAAAAGATTAATGTTTACATTGGGTCTATGATTAATAAATCAGACACCTCAATTGTATATATACTTTCCTTTTTTTAAAAAAAATGAAAGAAAAAAATGAAATAGTTTTTTTCTACATGGTCCTGAGTTTTGAAAGGAGTCTGACATATCCGTAACACACTGTCATGTAAAGTGGACCTCAGGCAACCTTATGGAATTATAGTGTATCATGTAGAATCTAACTAACCATTGCTGATGGTTGCAGCTTGTTAAGAAATTCTGAGGAAACCTCTGGATTCAAACGAGTGACCATCCAGACAGGCACAGACCTGCAGCCACATACCACCCCCTTCTCAGTTAGCTGTTACTATGCGCGATGTTCACTAGTCAGTGTTATAAGTAACGCTAAAATAGGAGGCAAGCTGAGAAGGCTAGCTGAAAGTACACACAATACCAGTTACCACCACCTCACAATAGTAACAGAGGTGTAAGCAGCTAATAAACGAGTCTTGCGTTTGACACAGAAGAGTGATGCAAATCCGCCAATATACACATCCTTGCGCGACCCCTTTAAGAAATTTACTATAATTTAAACAAATCCCTGATAATTGTTTGCCTAAACAGGAAACAAGTTGACTAATCAAATGCTTACATGCATCAGGATTTCAGTCAGAATTGCAATAGTGTTACTTGTCAGGAGATAAAACATCTCATTTCATCTTTAGCAGACAAGTGTAACATACAGTACTCATGCAGAAAGAGAATGTTCTGGTTTATTTGATTTGTTGACTTTGAGATGCAAGCTCTTAACCAAACAGCCATAATTCTTTGTTAATTCTTTAGGGGTAATGTGCGCCACACTGATTTGCCAGGAACATGCCTAAATTGCACTTTGTGCACAAAGACATCCACTTTGCTTGATCCGAGTCGAGCGCACAGTGCAAAACAATGCTGAATGAGGACAAAATAATCACTTAACTCTTATCTTTACCAACAAGAAACCATAATGTCACGAGACCGGGATTCAATAATGGCTCTGAAGTATCTGGAATGCAGCAGGCATTATTTACAACAAGGAACAGACAGAGAGCAATAAAAACCTCCTGCCTTAAGCAAGTATCCATGATGATGCTCAAAACAGGCTGACAGCCTTCAGGCTATTGGACACCCCTATATTACAAGCAGAAAATATGAGAGGTTTGGGAAACTAAACTCGTCTCCTGTCAAACAAACAGACAGACAGACAGACCGATAGATAGATAGATAGATAGATAGATAGATAGATAGATACGGTTTGTTGTAAAACATGTTGCCAGAAGTTTTCAGTACTTCTTTAGCAATTTATTATGCATAAATCAACTGAGATGCTTGAAGCGGTCCTTAAGCCTAATGATTAATCCCAATTTGTGATAGTGCGTTTAAGTGATGCTCTTTAGCACATAAACCGCGCTCCAGGTTTGACTTTGGCTTCGCTGATCAAGCGTGGCACCTAATACCACACACACTAATTAAACAGCCTTGTAAAGCGATAATTTACAAGCAGAAATGCACCTTGGGCTACACCATACACTCAAACACAAGCGCATATACTGTAGGTCTATCAGAAACAAAAATAAAAACTTATAAGTTTACACGTTTCCCAGAAGACGTGTATTTATTTCCAGATAATTAAATCGTAATTCATTGTCACTTCTGTCTGACCATCATTAAAACTTAAATCTCATTAGAACTGAAATCTCCAAAGTTTCAATGACATCATGACTAAATGCATGCTTACCAATCGCGGCAAAAACTATACATTAAAATGATATCAGATGCTTGAACTTATTTAATTCCAGATGCATTTAATTTACTCTTCTCACCGGTTCCTTAAACGATTCTGCACGTTATATTGCGGTGGTTATAAATGTTAGTAAGTATACATTTTGTTTTTGAAACTAATCATCATTTTGAAAAAAAGGACTAGTTAAGCTACCACGCTACTCGGAAACATTTTTCCATGGAAAATGAGAAATCATTACAATTAAATGTGCTTCTGCAAAGTCGTACGACCACTATATTCTTTTGTCACGCTGCCTGCATTTTTTAAGAAAACCCCGTCAATGGCAGGACGCCTTTTAAGCACCATTCCACTTAGTCGGAAACTCTTGAAAGCAGCTTTTGTGCTGTAGCATATCTACATGAAGTACATTTGCATATTTCTACATACTGAAGGATTCTGTAAAATAGTAATAATAATTAAAAAAACTTACCCTTTTTGTCCGGTAGTGCGCAGGAACCAGCGGCAAGAATCACCACGAGTATTATCTCAATGTCAAAACGCATCGCGGCGGCTTTTCCCTGCATGTTCATTCCTTTTTCCCAGTTGTGAAAATATTTATCTGGGAAAAGTCTTGCAGAAATGTGCGAGCCGAGGCGGTTCTCCCCGGGAGGTGTCCCCTGGAAATGAGGGGGGGGTTCAGGGCGCGGTCTGAGATGCGACTTTCCTCCTTAAAGTTTGACAGCTCATTGCCGATCCGCCGAGTCCGACCGTGCAGGAGGTGCCCCCCTCGCTGCCTCTGCCGTGTTATTTTCCGACGTCGGGGGGGGCAGGACGATTTCCAGGTGATTGCCGCTGGTTTAAAACTCCGTATCCACCCCAAGTGCGTAACCGGCTGCTGGGAAAATATTTATTTAGCAAGAGTTCTTGTTTACGTTCAGAATTGCATGGTTTTGTGCATGAGTGTCCCGATTACTGCCCGGGACACTGTGTACCCAATATCACCTTTACTGTAATTAAGGGGTGATTTTAGCAGGTTAAGGTTTTAATTTATTATGCATTACACTTTAGAAATATTAATGAAACATGCAGGTGTGTAGCCTACATAAAATCCATAGTTATACTGCATGTAAGAAAATGAGGGTTTGGCACTTTCCATTGTCTTCATTTCAAGCCAAAGATTATGATTTAGAGCGATTTGTAACAGCACCGGTATTCGGCAATACAGGTGAAAATGTCGGTTTTCGCTACGCTGGACTTTCTAAATGCCGTTTGGCGATAAAGGCTGATGGTGTTGCGTTACTTCGTAAGGAAAACGCTGGAAAATTATGGATCGGTATCGGTTGGACTGTGATGGGAGGAAGCACAACTGAGGGAAAACAAAATGTATTAGCATCAAGGCCGTAGTTATGGAGTTTACATCGGGAGGGAGGACCAAGGCGGTAACTATAATATGTATGAGGGGTAGGGTATTGTGAGCACATCTGAATGTTGGGGGGACGTGCCCCCCAATATACAGCCATGGAAAAAGTTAAGAGACCACTCTATATTTTTTAAATAATTTGCATTTCTAAATACTGGTTTTTCTGCTGACAGGTCGCTTCCAGGTTCAAAATTTCTAAGACAGTAGTACCCAAGAACAATTTGAGGAGACACTGGGAATGACCAGAAACCAGCCAGGTAAAGGGTGGAAGCGACTTTCTAATGCCAGAGACGACCCTCAACTTATCCAACAGCTTCTCATGAATTGTAGGATGACATCAAGTGACCTTCAAAAGGAATGGGAAACATTAAGTGCAGGTGTGAAGTGCACTGTTAGGACAGTTCATATCAACCTCCTAGAAGCAGGACTGAAGCCCCATAAAGAAGCCCTTCAATGAGAAGCAGAGAAGGACCGGGCTGCAGTTTGCAAAAAAAAAACAAATAAATTACTCAGAGATGCACACCCTTGAATTGAGAAATGAGTGAAACGAAAAACTGTGCTGTGGTCTCTTAATTTTTCCGTGGCTGTATATTATAATTATGGTCTTGGTAGGCATAATAGAGTACGTTTTTATGGCTACCAATTCTACATTATTTATCTTAATCTGGCATAATTGCTGTCAGTTACAGACCAGTAGGGGGCATAGAGTAGCTTAGTTTATCCACCCCAGTTCATTTTGCATTCATTTTCTATTCATGGCATATTTGGCATGAAGAGCATTGGTTCACAAAACTTTAGTCTTCAAGCCGTTTAAGTGTCTGTTTGTTTGCTTATTGTTTATTATTATTTTTTTACATTGATCATTTACTTGGTGGATTCTGACGTCACTTGTTTCTGAATACACTAATGAACCCCTACAAGAATATTTGAAGACACCGATTGTCTGAAAGGCTGTGACAGAATCAGAAGCAATGCTGTCACTCACGTATCGAGTCCAGCTGGAAATGTCTGGTTCTGTTACACGTGGGTCATACAGTCAGACACACATTTTTAATGTAAAACCTCGTGCACCATATATCCATTTGTTGCCTTCAATGCCTTGCCTTTTTATGCTATCTAAGTATGTATCACTATGAATATTCCACATTATAAGGCCACAGCAAACCAAACAGCTGTGTCCTTAACAAGCACATACAGTATTACAACATGACATGAGCCCTAAAGCCTAATGATACAACGTATTTTTGGGAAGGAATGTGACTGTGTGCGGGGTCTTTGATGGACTGCCATCCCAAACAGAACATTCCTTGTCACATGGCCTGTGGTTCCTGGAGTGGAAACCCTTTACTGAGGATTGATTTTTGTATTGATGGATGGATGGATGGATGGATGATGGAAGTCTGATAGTTCTCACATTTTTTTATAGATTCTACTTAAGCAGATGACAAAAAATGGATCCACTTTCCAATCCCAACTGTACTATACAAACTATCCAGTGCATCACCTTAAAAACTGATTGTTTTTTTTATTTTTTACAATATATTATAGCACTGTGTCCGAGCAGCTGTTTGGAAGGTATCTTCATTCATGATCTGCGCCTTTATATTCAAAATGCCCCCGCAGTGCTGAGGAGAGTGTGTGCAATCAGGTATCCGATCTGGGTCTCTGAGTCACATGAAAAGGTGCAGTGTGGATGCTGTGAAGAACTTGCAGAGGTGAGACAAGAACAGTGTGTCATACTGGTAATGAGTCACAGAAAAGATGCACTTTTCAGTACATTCCATTGCTTTAAATATTATCCGGAAAACAGGCGGTGTAAATGGGGAGAGCAAAGAGGAGCCTTATCAACGCTGATCTTCACAAGACATCTTGTGATGCATCTGCAGCTTTAGTTTTCTGCTCTCAAGTTAAATGCTAAATGGTTTGAGTAAAAAATAAACAACTACAGCACAAAAGTTTAATAGTCGACTTCAAGGCTTTAGTTGACTTTATTTGACTTATTTAAAATTCATTATTTTTGAGCAGAGAATCGGTAAATAATACATTACACATATTTTTTACTTTTTTCCCATTTTTTCATTTTTCCTGCTTGAGAACATTCACTCATATAAGTTTGAGATTGTTTCTGTGAACCAAAAATCTCTGTTATCAGTATATTTTTGTCTTCCTCATTATGTGGATTCTGAAAAAAAGTGCTAAGCAGAGATACTTACCATATGCTGTGCTACAGTAATTGTCAAGTCCTACCCGCCACATCTGCCTGACCCTCCAGGCTCCTGGGTCCCGTGACCCTGATGGGCCACACCTGATGCTTGTTACCCTGCATTAGTCTATGTAATTAAGTACCTGTTTGTCGCGTCCTCGCTAGTCTGGTCATGAATGTCGCTCCTTCTGTCACCCTATGTCTATCCCTGTTCTAGCCTTCTCGTTTTGATCCCTCGTGACCTTATTTTCCAGTCCTTGTTTGTTTCACTCCAATAAAGCCCCCTTCTTGTTTCCTCTCGTGACAGAATGAGCAAGTTGCTTCGTGGCTATCCCCGGGGGCCTCTTGTGCTGTGTATCTCTGCGTGCACGCTTTCCCCTGTGTCCAGCCACCTACCTCAGCCTGAGCCTCTGGTCTGCACACTCGCTGGTTTGAAGACAACCTGCTGATTGGCCCATTCACTGACAGTGACTTGGAGGAGACCGACGACCTCCATGAGCCTCCCACTGTGCAAATTGCCCCACTACTGTCAACCCAATACCAGTTACTGCACTGGGGAAGGAGACCAGAGATCCAGGGGCTAATCCTGGTACGGTAAGCAGAGTCTCACGGACCCATGACCCAAACAGGTTTCTCAGCCTCAGTGACGGAAGCTCACCTTGAGTTCGAAGAGGCTTTGCCAACTGATTCTGCCCGAGACTCCTAGTTTGGCAGAGATTGCTGCAGTCTCACCACATGCCACTTGTAGCGGGTCCACCGCTTCCTCAAAAGGTGGGGCTGCCCTGCCCACCAGCTCTCTGCAGCTCTCCTCGGCTCCACCCACCAGCTCCCCACAGCTTGCCCGGCTCCACCCACAGCTTGCCCGGCTCCACCCACAGCTTGCCATGGCTCCACCCACCAGCTCCCCACAGCTTGCCCTGGCTCCACCTACCAGCTCCCCACAGCTTGCCCTGGCTCCACCCACAGCTTGCCCTGGCTCCACCCACCAGCTCCCCACAGTTCGCCTCGGCTCCACCTGCCATCTCCCGCCGGAAGACAGAAGAAATGGGCTGAATCCCCAGCAGAGCCTGTCTCGCTTGACCCAGTTCTGCCAGAACCTGCCCTGTAGGTCCCTGGTCCCCTCCCTGTTCCATGTTGTCATGCTGTTTGTCTTGCCATGATCTGTCCTGTCTGGTGGGTCTGTCCCTCTGACTTATTGAAGTGTCTGTCCCATGTGCCCTTCTGGTCCTGCCTTGCTCTGTCCTTTCTGGTGTCCTGCTGCCTACCCCGTGTGTATGGCCTGTTATTTGGTCCCTACACTCGATGCTTGTTGACCTGCATTAGTCTATGTATTTAAGCACCTCTATCTCTTCCTCGCTAGTCCAGTCATTAACGTCGTTTCTCCTGTCAGCCCATGTCCATCCCTGTTCTAGCCCTCCCGTTTTGATCCCACACGGTCTTGTTGATTTCCAGTCCTTGTTTGTTTCAGTCCAATAAAACCCCCCTTTTTGTTTCCCCAAACGCCAGCCCACGAGTCATTCATCCTGTGTGTCATGACACTATAATCCATAAATTTACTGACAAATAATAAACACCCTCTGTGTCATTATTTTCATCTAGGATTTTTGTCAGTGTTAGTTTGTTTAATGCGAACAGACATTCCAGTTGATGAATACACTAACCATTCTTCTGAGTTAATATAAGCCGTGTAGGTAGCACTGTGACTTCACACCTTCAGGGGTGCGGGTTTGATTCCTGCCCAGGCTCCGCATTATGTGCAGTTTGCTTGTTCTTCCTCTGCTGTGTCCAGGTATTGGCTCCATACTTGGCATGACCTTGTGTTAGATATGTGGTTTTGTAAGATTGTCCAGTGACTGTTCAGTTAATACTTCGTTCAATTTGTTTAGTAAACAATATTTTTTTTACTTCTCTGGATGTACACATTAACAGTCAGTCTTTGATTCTTTGTAAGTAATCCCTTGATGTCTAAGCAGATGAAGCACGTGCTTGTTTTGGGAGTCCACATGTGAAGAGCCAGCAGGATTGTGGCAGAGCCATGAGCGTGAAGCACATTCCTGAGGTGCTAATGTGTGTCCCATCTGTGTCCTCCTTTCGAAAGACGTGAAGATCAGCACGCTTGGCTGCTATTGTGAAACCAGACAG